AAAAAATAAAAATAAAAGTATTTTTTAAATTTAAAAAGTCAAAAAAAGATATTTTTTCAAATTTCCTCTCGAAGTAATGTCTCCGTTCATTTATGATTTCCGGTCTATGGGCTAACCGATTATTTTTTTGTCTTACATTTTTTTTTTTTGCGGTTATATGTATCTTTCGCGCGGTGTATTTTTTTCCAGAAATTATGAGAACCTCTGATACAACAAGCGACTTCCATCCGTATAATCACATCTTCCACAGTTCCTCCAAGTTTTTTTTTTTGGTTAAATATCTTTACCTAACTATTTGAAGAATAGTGTGTGATTAAGTAATTAAGTCGAGTTTGAAATACAAATGAATTGATCCATGGCTTGGTGCCAAAGGAATTTTGACATCTCAAAGATAAATCGAATAGAATATGAAATAGTTGAAATTCTGACTAGTGTTGAATTCATAGCACTAGTTAATTACTCGCATCAAAATAAGATTTATAGTATAAACCGCTGCATTATCCACGCGTCACACATATTATACACGAATCATATTATGGGCTATGTTTGTTTCTTGTGCTCCTCTTCAAACAGATTCTTTTTCAACATTTAACTTTTTTGCGGTTATTATGTTTTGTTTGCAACTAAATAAAGCAAGATTTCACGATTATGGGCTATGTTTGTTTTGTGTGTGTGTGTTTTTTTTTGTTAAAATGTAAATATCATTGAAAATGAACAATTTAGGTATTACATTAAGTAGCTATCTATAGAAGAGTAAACTTGGCACAAAAAAGGTAAAAACAAGCTTACAATAGAAATGGGCAAAACATGGGTTTTTTTGTGTTTATCGTCAAACATATTTTTTTTTCAACACTTAGCTCTTTTCTTTGCGATTATTATGTATATTTTTTTTTGTGTAAAAAAGTTATTATTTATACTTTGTTAGTTTCTTTTCCTCGTAAAGAAAATTCATGTGGCATTGTTCAGTATATATGCAACAAGGGACATATCCATATAATCACATCTGCATCCCGACAAAAATAAGGCCCTATATACAAAGGTTCTCACGGAACTATATACAGGATAAATGTATGATTAAGTTAAATCGAGTTTATTATATCAAATTAATTTGATCCATATGGCTTGGTGCCTATTAATATCACATCAAATGAGAATTATAAGTTACAAAAAAAAAAAGTTGAGAATTTTTTTTTTGCTAAACTGTTGCATAAACTGTTGCATTATCCAGACTTTCACATCTTCCAAGCATCAACCGAGTATCAAATTTGTCTTGTGACTTAAATTTAAGGGTTTTTGAGGGAAAAAAAAACACAGTTTTATTAACGGTACACATACTTTTTTGTTAAACCGTGACAATTGACGAACTAATTTCAGCAAGAAAAATATGTTCCTTATGCCGTTATGCGATTATTTTCTTTTCTAAATGATTAATTGAAGTGGAATAAGAACGAAAGAAAGAGACATTATAATAATATTTATAAAGTGATGTAAGATTCTACGTTTTACGAAAAGTTGGAAGAAAAAAAGAAAATCGTTTCGGTTTTGTTTTAACTAACCAATAATTATTAAACTCTCTTATAAGATCCAACGAGATGAATAATCGCAATGAAATGAATAAGCGTGGAAAACTAACGAGATGAATAATCGTGAAGCAAGCATCAAAATCTGAGTATATCATATGCGTGCGTTATATCTGTATATTTGAAATCTAACATGGAGAAATATAGAACAAAACAGAGCCAAGGTCAACTTGCCAGCCACAAATCAACAGATTGTGTATGTGACCAAACCAATGGTCAATAAACCGGTTGTGTTTAAACCGGCAAGTCATCCTTGGCTCGATTCCGTTCTCTAATCCTTCATGCAAGACTCTCTAATACAACCAGAAACTCCCATCATCATCTCTCGTTCTAATTATTTCAAATGTGTTATATATATACTTCTTCACTCTTGTGTTGTGGTTAAGCCTAGTCAAGATGTGTATGTATTTATAGGCAAAAAAACGATAAATTATTCTTGATACCATTTCCATATGCATCGTTGCGAATTTTGACTAAAGCCCTAATTCAATAACAAAATCGGAAAGTTGGGACTAAAGAATATAATCTATCAGATGGGGTGACCATAGTCTCCAAATTCCATTTCCCGATTTAGTTCGAATAGTTTATATTTGTTCCACCACTTTACCGCACATATTTTAAAAAAAAATAATTAAGATAAAAAATATTAAGATGGTCGTAGAAACTAATAGAGGATTTTTGTTTTTTCCGATAAATGGAATATTAGAGAATGGTCTTTGTGAGCATAGTATTATTAAAGGGGCAATTACAAAAATGCCACTTTTTGTATGCACATTTGTAAGAATGTCATTTAGAGGTGTCCATTTACAAAAATATCACT